TGTAAATAGCCGGGCGGAATTAGTACCCTCGCACGGCGCTTCGCGCCGCCGGCTCGGGGATAAGTCGTATGGCTTATATTCCTGCCCTACACGTATCTTAAAATGCGCAAAAAATGTTCTAAGCAAACCTCTAGCTGACATTATTAATACTTCTATTGAGCGAGGAATCTACCCCCAAAAATTAAAAATTGCAAAAATTATTCCAATTTACAAAGATGGTGCAGATACCGATCCAAACAATTACCGCCCTATATCACCTTTATTTATCTTATTAGATTTTGATGAATGCACTGAAGAAAATCACAATTGCCATGACAAAGCTTCATGCAATAATACTGAAGGGTCTTTCAATTGTTTTAAACTTTGAATTTGGTTAAATTGGAAATATAAGTTCGTATTAATTAGTGTAGGTCATGCATCATTTCCTTCAAAAGAACTTTTCAGATATGGACGGATGTACAGCAGGAATTGCAAATTGCCATGAAAACACGACATACAAAAATACAGGAGGTTCATTCGATTGTTATTGTAAATCTGGCTACACAGGAAACGGCACTCATTGTAAACTTTAGTTTTTGGTGCACAAAACCCATATAGGAATATACAGCGCCAAGACACATAGGTGTACGAAACCGGGATACCAGGTTCATCTGCCAAAAGAAAAATTGTAGTTGGACAATTTCTAAACCTAAAACGGGCAAAAATTTTTGTAAGTTTAACATGGCAAAAGTGACGTAAAGAAGAATTCACCAATTAATTTATATCGCGGTCATATGATTTCGTTCAAGCAAACTTTTCAGATATCAATGAATGTACAGCAGGAACTACTATAACAACCATATATGTGGCAATACAGAAGGTTCTTCAATTGTACTTGTAATTCTGGCTACACTGGAAATTAAACGGCACTCATTGTGAAGGTTAATTTATATTTGTCTCATGATGTCGTGCATGTTTGCATGATTTCTTGGAATTTAATCGAAATCGTGGTATAACTCTCCTCATTTTTGACCACATTTTTGTATTGAGAATAGGCTAGGCGTATTTCCCGCAGCATTACGCAGGCATCTCGAGTTCAGGCAATCTGTCTTCCCATTGCCTGAGTTATAACAATCAGTTCTCAGATTAGTCGGTTCGAAGATGTATTTCTCATGTTTGTAGAACCGTTGTAAGAATAACATGCGATCATCGAGCAATGCAATCTAAATAATCATCAAGTTCCTCATTACTCGGATTCCATTTATTCTACTCTAATGGAATATGTATGACATCTTATTGACATCAAGAGCCACCTGATGCGTCCACGTTGGCATAAAAATGATAACTTGCGTGGGGGAGTGTAAATGTAGAGAAGGAGAGAGGGGAGCGGGGTCAAAGTCGTTAAGAGGGGAGCGTGGGTGTTAAAATCCCGTAATCAGTTTGAAAATTAGGGTCACTGAAACGTTCGTCCTGATGTGTGAATCTGAAACAAACTGCTACTTGTCACCATTCTGTCAGATTTCTCATGTCACTATTGGACGAGTTATTATGACTTTCATAAATAATTCTAATAGAGCGTCTCAATTATTATGAAACAAAACGCGATTGACAAACATAGAAGTGTACAACTGTAAAAATACTCGTTTTTAAGGGATTATTGCAGGACTGTCTTTTCTTATTGTAGGGTGATGAACATGTCAAGTATAAAATATCAATAAATGTATACCTGAAGGATTGGAAAGAAATTCGACGGCTTGGAAATGAATTATATAAACTTGTCCTTGTATGCTCATATCAATATAAAATTAATTTGTAAATTCACTCAAACTCGGCGATCTAAATTTCGGATTTTCTATTCGTTAAGGGACCGGTCATTATTTATGGAAGGGGGGGAGGGGAATTTTTTCTTTCCTAAATTTTTAAAATTGAAAGCCCCCTCTTTAAAGAGCAGAAATTTATTGATGACCCCCCCTACATATTAGAATATTTTTCTTTGACCCCCCCCCCATTTTCATTTTTACTCGACAAATGGGGATACCCAGGCGTTATAATGTTAATTATTAATTAAATAAGAATATGGAGCTGACAAGATATTAACGTCGACCAAAAATATATATTAGCAGAATCGAAAATTATAAACAAAAGAGGGGTATTTTCATATATAACTCTAAAATCAGGTTTCCATTTGGTCTGGGCGATTGTAACCATGTTTAACGGCAGAGAATTAATATTAGTGTTTGGTGGCAGGTGCCGTTTGTGGTCCAAGGCTGTAACTAGATTTGATGGCACAAAGTATTGCCATAGCAGCTGCGTAGCAATGAGAGTAACAATCAGTAATATTAGCAGCAAAAGGAGATAGCCATGACAATTCTGGCTATTCTGCCAAGGCATACCTCCGGCACCAGTCACACTGACAAGTCAGTGGAAACAAAATATAATGTATAGTGGTCTATACATCCTATTTTTAGTGAGATTAAAAATTATATAAAATAAAATGACATACTACCAGATAAAATCCTCTAGAATAAACATGGGTGGGTGGGGTGGGTAGGGGAAAGGTATCTAAGCGCTAAACTTGCTGCAGCTAGGCAAAGCATACAATGGCAGTATGAATACCCAGACCGAAGCACTGATCACAAGGCGCGAAACAACCCCCTTTAATCGATATGACGTCACAGACTCCCATCAGTGGATGTGGCCTGCATAATACATTCGCCGTTAACCTTGCTTAAATGTATTTAACCACATCAAGATAGCTGATGTAATAATACATTGTCAATTTATCTCTGCAATCAGTAAAGACTGATTTGCATACAGCACACAGAAGACAAGATAAATCCTGACTATTTCACATCAGTGACCATGATTTAGTCGCAATTACAACCAAATGGATACCATGCAAATTCCTTCAAATTTAATTGCAACCCCCCCCCTCATTTTCTTGAAAAAATTTAATAGCCCCCCTTCTAGTAATTTATTTATACATATGGCCCCCCTCATTTTTTCCCTCCCCCCTTCCATA